AAAGAGCAGAAGAAATATTATGTATTTGAACAATAACAATTTTTGCTGTTTATCTGTTGCTAAGTGATGAATGTGTTTACTGGTAACCAAGTGCGACAAGGCAAACTTCAGATTTTTAATTTTGCAAATACCAACTGTAAATTTCTTGTATCTAATCGGGTAAGCATTATTTCGAAAGAGCTTATGTTTTATAAATTATATAACTTGTTATTAATTTGGTTTTAAGAGATGAGCGTTTTCTACTGGTAACGAACTGCCACGAAGTATAAATCGAGATTTTTACTTTTGTGTTGAATGTGTGTTTAAAATATTCACCACTAATGACAAAAAAAATTAACTTTTCTGTAGAATTCAGCAACTGCACAATTCTTGTTAGTGTAAAATAAGTAGTACTATTTCAAAAGAGCAGAAGAAATCTTATGTTTTTTGAACAGTAAGAATTTTTGTTGCTAATCGGTTTATGTGTTGCTAAGAGATGATCGCGTTTTCTGGTAACCAAGTTCCACAAAGTAAACTTCTGATTTTCACTTTTGCAAAATTTACCAACTGTAAGCAGATAAGCATTATTTTGAGAAAGCTTATGTTTTATAAACAATATTTCTTGTTATTAATTTGGTGTTAAGAGATAAGCGAGTTTTTTTCTGGTAACGAACTGCCAGGAAGTATAAATTGAGATTTTTACTTTTGTGTTGAATGTGTGTTTTATAATATATTCACCACTAATGACTAAAAAAAATAAAAAAAATTAAAAAAAATAACTTTTCTGCAGAATTCACCAACTACACAATTCTTGTTAATGTAAAATGAGTAGTATTTCAAAAGAGCAGAAGAAATCTTATGTTTTTTGAACAATAACATTTTTGTTGCTAATCTGTTGCTAAGTGATGAATGTGTTTACTGGTAACCAAGTGCCACGAAGCAAACTTCAGATTTTTACTTGTGCAAAATGTACCAGCTGTAAATGTCTTGTGTCTAATCAGGTAAGCATTACTTCGAAAGAGCTTATGTTTTATAAACAATATTTCTTGTTATTAATTTGGTGTTAAGAGATAAGCGAGTTTTTTTCTGGTAACGAACTGCCAGGAAGTATAAATTGAGATTTTTACTTTTGTGTTGAATGTGTGTTTTATAATATATTCACCACTAATGACAAAAAGAATAAACTTTTTCTGCAAAATTCACCAGTTTGCAAATACTTGTTAGTGTAACATGAGTAGTATTTCAAAAGAGCAGAAGAAATCTCATGTGTTTTGAACAATAACATTTTTGTTGCTAATCTGTTGCTAAGTGATGAATGTGTTTACTGGTAACCAAGTGCCACGAAGCAAACTTC